CATGGATTTCGAGATCAAGTCGGTCCAGCGGTGGCATTTATTAAGTTTTTCTCTTCCCTTCCTCCATTATTCCTCTGCACAATCAATTCAACGAAAAAGAGGAATCGATTTTCTTTTTCTATCGCCAAAAATAAAATAAAATCTTTTAAGTTTCTTAAACTATCCTTATAATTTAGTTAATTGACCTCTTAACTAGCTCTATCATTAACGTTGGCATTCGTTAATATTATATCAAAATTTGTACACACGTGACATATAATTTTTTCAAAATTCAATTTTATCCTTCGTCCCTCTCCTTTTCCCTATTTTTTGTTCATCGTCTTCTTCCTTTTAACAGCGGTAAACCGAAGATGTTTCCAACTTCTAATTCGATTGGTACCTCTCTCCTTTGTAAGAAGTTGAAAAGACGAACTCCATACATTCCATAAAGAGGTGTTATCTCCTCCGAAATCAGTTGTATTGAAACCGGTACCCACAGTGGTGTTATCTCTGCCCAAGAACAGCAATCCGGTTGTCGGAAATTGTGAATTAGAATTAAAATTGGGAGTATTCATCTGACCCTGTGAACTCAACTTGTTGAACCCATTCAAAACACCTGCTCCCCTGTTCATCAGAACAGAGGAACTTGACATCTTCGCCTCTCATCCGTGTTTAACCTTGACCCCGTTGCAAGTACAACCGTTCTTGCCACCCAAACCGTGCTTGTCATCGCTTCTTAACATTGTACAACCCCTTTGATAGTGGGTTCGACTTGGGTTGCAACCTCTAAGGTACGTCTTTGTGGATGAAAGGCTTTAAATAGGAGTCATCATCGCCAGGCTAGGATTTGCGAAATTTAAAGAGTGGGGTTCGAATAAACAGTTTCACAACTCCATGGCTCAGATTTGCCAATTTTCATCACTTTCGAGCAAAGGTAGCCAAAAATCACTTCCATCTTTCTACCTCTCAACACGTCATTGAATCTTGAAATCGTCGCAAGTTTTTAACCATTCTATTGGGAATTGGGGTCACTGAAATTTTGAAGAGAAACTCTGAGATGTGTCTGAAGACATTGTTTAGACATTGTTTTCTCCCATTCAGTTCCATTGAGTTTAATGTTGGGTTACAAGCAAATTCATCCCATGATACAACAAAGTCTTGGGTGAAAATTTGCAACTAGCAAAATTGAATAGTCTCCGAATAAACCTTCTGTGAGACAATAGCATATTAGACTGAGAGAGACAAAAGTGATTTTCGAAACTTATGTGTGAAATTACTTGATTCACGCTCTTTAAATAATTTCTGAAGAGTCATGGAGCAGAGGAAGGCACTGGTTCAAAAAAGACTATTAAAAGGTAGTTAACAATTAATGACTGTTAACTTTAAATAGTGCCTCTTGATCACACCTGATCAAATCGTGGCCGTTGAAAACATCAACGATCAACCTCGCACCTAGGGTTGTTCATAAGAAAACCCAAACCGACCAAAAGCATAAACTGATGGGTCAGTTCGGTTTTGCTTTCCACACATGAAAACCGAAATTGAACCAACCCGAACCAACTTAGTTCCTAGTTAGTACTTAGTAGTTAGTACCTAATTTAGTTTATACTTTCTAATTACTTGTAGTTTCTACTTTCTAGTCTTCTCTTTAGGAATGCCATTAATGGCAAGCACTGTAAGACAAGGAATTCCATTAATGCCATTAATAGCTTCTTTCATTTTTTTTTGGAAGGTTTAAAGAAATGATCCTGTTCTCTATAGTCCTTTACACCAAATAGTTAATTACAAGTAGGTCTCTTTTTTACTTAGATTAGAAGACTTCTTAAAAATTCCAAATTTCAGTCTTCTTTTTCTAATACAATTTGACTTTCTCTTTTCTTGGTAATTTCTAACTTGGTCCACTCTTACTCCCTTAGCCCCTCAATTCAAGCATTGAAACTGACTCAAACCGACTCAAATCGACTAGGTCGGTTTTGCCCAACACAAGGTTGGTTTTGGTTTCATTTTCAGGCAACCTGACTAGGTCGGGTCGGTTGGAAAAATAGCAGTAAACTGACCCAACCTGACCCATGAACAGTCCTACTTGCACCAAAATTCAAAACGCACCTTTAAAGCACCTCATTGCGCCACACACGCGCACACACATTATGCAATAATGAGTCTCCATACTCTCTTCTTTATATCTAAGAAGTGTAAATAAGCTCCTATTTAAAAACCCAAAACAAGATTTATAATTTTCTGAGTGTACTTTTCATGTAATTGATCAATCAAACCCATTGGATTTAATCTCTAATGAGATTAAAATCTAATACATTCAATTTCGTGTCAGTCTTATCATGCATTTGATTTCTATCATCTCATGCATCTCCCAGATTACTGAATCGGCGTGTCGTCCCATCAGCATCCTCTCCAATATGTTCTTAGCATGGACGGTTGATATTGCACACAACTCTAGGTCCTTCATCATCTTCTATGTTACATTCATATTCTCCACACAAGTTGTGATGACGATGGCGGGGAAGTGAAAGATGAGGAGAGAGAGAAGGAGAAAGATAATGGGGAAGAGAGAACCGCCGACCTCTAAAGGAGATCCGATCAAACCATCGCTGCTATCTCGAATCAATTGCCGGCTGGGCTGACTTTCTCATTGCTCACTCTCTCACCTTCTCCCCCCTCTCTATGTGGAACGGGAAACTCCCTCTTTCTCTTCTTTTCGCAGAAGGTCAGTTATCGGCGAAATAAGAGCCCCAAACCACCTCATAACTTAGCCGAAGGGAGAAGAAGAAAGTCATGGTGGACTCAGAAAACTTGCTTCTAGAAACAGCAAGAAGAACCGCTGGACTAGGGAGGAATAGACACTCGCATCCTCCGCTCGTTGTTTTTTTCTAATGTACGCCAAAGGCCTATTCTACTCTTCCTAAGCTCTAACCATTTCCTCCCATGGCAGCTTGTAAATCATATAGTGGAGAGCTTCGATTCTAATAGAACCTTGCTCTATGTCCTGTGGCATAGCTTTGATTACCCAACCGACATGCTCCTGCTTGGGATAAAGCTGGGTTTCAACTCTAACACCGATCATAACTTGTCTTTGGACACTTTCTCTCGGGATGGGCATCCCACTATCAAATAAGTAATTTTAACTTTTTGTGCGTAAATTTGATTTAAGGGTAATACACTGTTAATATTTAACAACAATGGTAATTTTGATAAACAATAGCCGTAGTGTTAGATAATAGTCAAACAGTAAGGATATATTTAGTTAATTAGCTAAATCATGAAGGTAATTTAAGAAATTTACTTAAATCTTTTTTTTGTTTCTATCTAATTTTGTTGCAAGTTGTAGTATTTATAGGGTCAAAGAAAGAATTATGCAATAAGCTCAGTTTGGAAAGAATATAAATGCAAATATATACAATGCAACTACATATAAAATAATATAAAATATAAGGTTTTACACTCTATATATTTGAATTTGTACTCCTTCCAAACTAAGCCTTTGGATTTGTGGAGGCCGGTATATTTGAACTCGGCTTCAATCAATGCAAGGCCCTTTCAAACACCCTTTATGGCGTTGCAGATAGGTACAGAGATAATCCCAATGTAAGGTTGCAAAGGCTGTTCGAATTGTCCTTGCACTGGCTGAAGCCGATCTCGGTATGTTTAGACTTTAGACTGTATGAGGGAGAACTGGAGAAGGATAGATGAGTTTCCCTGTTTAGCCAAATCAATAAACTTTTGCGCTCCAATTATGTAATTTTAGTCAGCAGCCCACTTCCTCGTACCTCTTTATTCATAGACATTATTTTTTGGCAGGAATACCATACATATACAGTTTAAATTTTTATTTTTTTAATGAAATCACCTTTTTTTTTAAATTAAATAGCAAGAACAATATTGGACTAAGCAATAAGAATAAATAATAGAACATAAAACAAAAATCGTATATGTCAAAACAATAAAACCCAGCTAAAGACAACAAAACAAATAATTTAAGCACTAAAGGCCCATTCGTTTTTTGGATTTTGAAAAGAGAAAAAGTTGGTCAATGGGATTTTAGTTCCCATTGACTAAGATACTCGTGTTCTTTTTTCATATTCATGTAAGGTTTATGGAAAATTTATTTTCCCTAGGTATTGCTTGCAATGCCCATTTCTCAGGTGGATAAATAACTCTCCCACCGAAAAGTTTTTAACACTTGTATAAGATAAAATTGTCTCTTTTAATAATTATTTTTTTATAATAATTAATAATAATTATTTTTATGACTAAAATGATCATTTTCTTATTTACCTAGGAAATAAAAGAACATCAATAAATTAGTAATACATTTTTTCTTTCTTTTTTGGATAAAAATTAACATAATTGGATAACGCTCAGCCTGTTGACTTGTGCTTTATTTAATAAACTTGGATTTGAATTTAGTTGAATTTTTATACATTTTCCAATACTGGGACAATAAACAGGCAGCCATCATTATGAAGAAGAAAAACACAAACTGCGATAATTTGTTAGTGGTATATAGATAATGAAGGTAGGGTTTCCTCCTAACAAAAAATCGTCCCAACACCTTCCAACACGATGTATCCGCACCGCACATCTTATGCAATGCAATGGTAGGTCCCGTCGTTATAAAAACCATCAGAAATCTGTATAGGAAAAGCTCATCGGTCATGGGTCTAATCCAAATCTGGTAACATATGTTTATTGAAGAAAAAGGCCCAAGTATCATGTCTGGCCCAATTTGAGAGCCAGGACGACTGGGCCGGCCCATCAAATTGCTCCCTTAATTTTAGTAGGCGGACATTTCGTGAATTATGGCAGTCAGAAGATAGCGTGTGCTGTTTCGTTCGTAGGCCCAAGTATCATGTCTGGAGTCTGGACTGGACTCAGGAGTCCGGACTCTGTATGGGATAGCGTGTGCTGTTTCGTTCGTCTGCCAAACGCCAAAACTTGTTTCTCTCTATTATATCAGAATTATGGCAGTCAGAAGATTACTTTCCCATCGTAAGGAGAATGTATGTTCCTCCCGTAAATTGCTTCCTTATTTTCTTCTCTTTTACTTTTTCGTTTACATTTCACTGCTCCCATTTGTTTCGCTCGCTTAGACTCTTTTAGTATCTGCATCACTTTCGTGCCATCACCTGTTTGATGAATTGCTTAAATAAGCTCTCGTTTAGATATTTTTCATTAAATTTAGTTAGACATATTATACATGGACACCCGTATTGTACCTGTTTCATCATCCTGAGTTCACATCGATTTCTCATGTTTCGAGCAAATTGTTTTCAAACACAAAGCAAACACGAACGAAGGGGAAAGTCAATTTGCCTGTCTTTACTGCAACGATCGGGAGTGTTTGGCTTCTTAAGAGCCTTCAATTGTATTTTTTCTACCCCTTTCATGTTTATAGTTTATTTGGTTACTTCTGCTTTCTATCAATTTTCTCTTTTAGTATTTTTGTAACCATTCTCTTTCTGTATACCTAATTTACTTCACTAGCTTTGAAGTGATAAATTGCATCATGTTGCTGCCATTCTTTTAGACCTCTACGAAGGAGCATATAGGATTGCGTATACGCTTGTAAATAATCAAATTGAAAGCATGGAAATCAAAGAGTTGAAACGCATGATTGGATTCTAGTTTGTTTCTGATATGCTGGACTATGTAACCTGGTAACTGGCCCCAATAGACTATACTCTGGTCCTAGGATAAGTATAAAAAGGAGAAGGGATAGAACCCACAAACTTTAAGGTTGAAATGGATTAATGGAGTAACCAATTAAGTGTCTGGTTACACATTGAAGTCTGTTCAATGGGTTAACTATGTTGGACCCACCTGTTTCGGTAACTTGTTCGACATCCCATCTTGGTTACCAGGTAATTTCTAAGATCTGAATATATCTGTATTTGAAACAACTTTGGCAAGTCAATACACCCCTAGTTGTAGATGCATGTTTGTGGGCTGTTGTGGATCAAATGAGTTTGCTTCACCGTTGTACTGGATTATATGCTTTATGGATTTCCCCCTTTTAATGCCTCATCCAGAAGGACAAAATTCGTTCCTTATTTTACTCAAATTTGGAAGTAGCATATAAATGTTTCTTTACAAGGATTCAGTATTTGACAAAGTGCATGGTAAATACCTGAGAGTAATCTGTTCAGTCTGATAAACAACTGTGACGTGTCTTTCCTTCAATGATCAAATATAACAGTAACTCCCAAGTTTGTATCAGCTGGGTTGGATAGAGTTGATTTTGAAACTTCTATATCCTATCACAAGCTGCCCACTTGGAGAATTAGACTATTAAATGAGTCCAAAGGGCACTTAGAATGGGCTGCTTTGGCCACCTGTCGCCATTAATGTGCACTCTCAGTTGTCACTATACCATGTTTCTGGCATTGGGTTTTACCAGTCCTAACTTGTAGATCAGCTAGTCCATTAAGTCCTGGAATCCATGCTTGCAAGTGATTATGGTTGTCTATTATACTACATTTATTTGTATCCATCATTGAAAGTTGAAACCTGAGAAGGATAAGATGCAAATTCAGATTTATGCAAAAATACCTTAGAAACAATAGTTTCAAAATAAGTAGGACTGAAATAGATTATATCAAGTGAAATTTAATAATGCTAGGAGTGGAAATCACAATGTGCCAACCAGCTGGTTGGTAAGGTGTCCTGCTGCTCATAGCATAGACTTGGGATTGAATCCCGCCTGCATGGCTGCACCTAGGTTTGGGGTTATGGGTTGGGGGATGGGCTACCCCCTGTTGTGTAGCCCTTCAAAAGAAATAAAAAAAAAATGCTAGGAGTGGAAATCAGGGTACACTTAGTACTGAAAACCAAGAGATCAATGTGATCTGTTCCATTACATTGGTTCAAGAGTCTATAACAAGGGAGAGACTGAGGAAGATGTCACCCATAAATTAAAGAAGGATGGGAAAACTTTAGGGGGTGCATGTGGAGTCTTATACGATGGGATAAAAGGAAGATTTTATAAAACAATTATTAGGCTCGCACTGTTGTTTGGAGATGAGTGTTGGGCAGTTAAGAAGCAACATGTCTAAAATATTAATGTGGAAGATATGCAAATGTTGAGATGGGTGATTGGGGAAACTAGAAAGGATATAATCATAAATGAACCTGTTTGAAGGAATGTAGCAGTAGCTCCAATAATTGATGAAATAAGGGCAAGAAGACTAAGTTTGGTCACATGTAGAGAAGACCATATACAGCACCAGTAAGAAGTGATCTGTTACAAGAGCTAGGTGCAAACCAAATGGAAATGAGTTGAAGTGGTCAGAAATGATTTAAGAGCCCATAATTTAACAATGTATATGGCACTGAATACAGCACCAGTAAGAAGTGATCTGTTACAAGAGCTAGGTGTAAACCAAATGGAAATGAGTTGAAGTGGTCAGAAATGATTTAAGAGCCCATAATTTAACAATGTATATGGCACTGAATAAAATGGAATGGCGGAACATGATTCATATAGCCGGCTCCATATAGTTGGGACAAAGCTTAGATGATGATGATGAAATTTCTTTTAAAGTTGAAAACGAGCTCTAGAAGTAAGGCCTGGTTAAAGTCATCTTGGTATGCTGATTCTTGGCATATCTAATGTGGTGGTGTCAATCTTTGAAGCATGGGTGGTAAATTATGGGGAACCAGATCTACAAGCCTTGTATCCCTAAGCCCAAGACGTTCCCATACATGAATCGGGTTTTTAATTTCCCGTTTCTTCATTTTAAAATGGTTCTGTTCTGCTCACTTATTTATTTACTTCTATATAAAATTTTGTGGGTCAACATTCATAGCTTTCTGTAAATTGTTAGGGATGTATCAGTCATTCTCATAACTTCTAAATGGCAACAAGCTTGACTAGCATGATGTAATGGTTGCCTTAATAACTTGGGATTTCTGTCTTTTTAGTTTATGGTGACCCTTTTTTGGCCAAACTGTTGGGGTATTTTTAATAGGGAACTAAATGTAAGGGGAGGGGGCAGGCACCAGTCTTACTAGAGGAATGCTTGGCATTATATGTCCATATTAATTAACTCTTTCTTTAATACTTATAAAAGTCATGTCAAAGAAAAAAATAATGTATGATTGACTTGATACATGTAGAATAGATAGAATAGAGAAAGCAACTGAGAAGCAGCTTTAAATGCCCAAAAGCAGAATATAGAAACAGCTTTGGATGAGATGTAAGCTTGATTCTGCCAATGATGCTGTTTTTCCATGTGGTTATGCTTTTCTTTGAAGGTACCCTGATGCAACAGTACTGGTAATAGCAGTAGCATAGTCGCTTCAACTGTATTTTGATTAGGATCTATGAAGAACATAGCATTTAATTACTCCAAATGTGCACTGAAATTTTCATATATGCCATATAATACATCTGGAAACTATTTTCAATCTCTCTTTTTTCCTAATTTCCATTTTCTCCCTCAAGGATAAAGCTAGTTTGATTTGAAATTTTAACCGGTGAAAGATGAAAAGAACTTTTTAGTTATTATGATTTTAGATATATTCCACACTATGCTTAGAAATCATACAAATTGAGTTATTATTAGTTCTGAGGGTTAATCTGATGAAAGGACAACTTGTCATATAGGTTTACATGTAGGTCCATCTGGTTGTGTTTCATATTTTGGTCTAATTTATGTTCTTTTGGTTTGAAGATGCATAACTCTGGCAACCTCAGAGAAGATGAGGTCACATCTGCTGTTATTGCTGCTTGTTCAGCAGGCATGTTAAGCATGTTAGCATGGTATTTGATTGGAGAACACTCACAGGAATTGGAAACAGATGGTGAATCTATGTTGGTGGATGAAGGTATTGACATTGATGACATAGAAGAGGGGATAGAAGCATCATCTGAACAAACTAGAGTACAATCAAATTCTTTATCACACCCTAAAGAACCTATAAACAAATTTCATGCCCCCAACATAATTTCAACAATGAATACTCTAGCTGCAAACCTTGGTAGAATAGCTGAAGCATTGGACCGAAGCAACAAGGCTATGAGCATTGACTATTTGTATGAGGAGGTAACGAAAATACAGGATTTTGATGAGGACTTTGTTATTGAAGCTTTAGAGTATTTGGCTTCTGATGACAAGAAGGGCAGGACATTCTTAACTCTTGATGAAAAGCGACGGAAGAACTGGCTGTTGAGGAATTTACGTGGTCGACGTGGTTAAAATACTTTATTTGGCTTCAGTTTTGCATTATTTGTTTCATTCTCTCGTTATGGTGGCTTCTGAGACCATCCTTGGCGCTAATGACATGAATCTTATTTTATTCTTCCAATGCAACAAGTACGTACTTCATACTTCACTTTTTATTTTAATACATAAACTGCTCTAGAGAAAAAAATGCTCCTTCTTCAATCCACATTATTGTGAACCTTTTTTTCTTGTTTATCAATCATTCAACCTGCACTAAAGTGTTCTTTCTCATCCGGCTGATCTCTAATCACTTTTATTAATTGCTTGACCAAGTGAACTGTGAACATTTTACACAAATACCAAGTTCCTTTTATCTCCTAAACTAAAAGAAGCCATTACCTGCTGCTGGTCTTGGCTACCTGGGTTTTTGTTAGGGGATGGACTGGAGCATAGTTGTCAAGGCGACACCTAGGTGACAAGGCGCCCTTGGAGTCTTGCCTCGCCTAATTGCCAAGCAGTTTTCTATAGTGTGTTATAACAAACTTTTATATTCTTAATTTTTTGAGGTTATAATTATAAAATAGACATTTTTAAACTAAAATATTCATTTTGTTTGTTTATATACTAATTTCTTTTTGTTATTTTCTTATTTGTTAGGGTTTAATCAACACAAATATTGCTTAATACTGTATTGAACCATCAAAGACTTCAAAACCTGAACCAATAAGTAAGAAAGAACATAAAATGTTGTCCAATCAACACATTTTCTTCTTCTTCTTCTTCTTTTTCTTCTTCTTCTTCCACCTTTACTTTTCTTCTTTTCCTATAGCAGAAATAGGGGTTCAGCCCCTACATTTTTCGAATTTTCTTTTCTTTCTTCTTTTTCTTCTCGTGAATATGTTGGAATATGTTGACTTTCTATACTTTAACATGAAGTTTATACTTTTCTAATGAAAATTATGGATATTTATTAACGAAATATGATTATGGAACCTAGGGAACTACCCTAGGATACATGTTTTTACTTGAAAAAAAAAATCCATCGCCTAGGCGCCCGCCTATTTTACTAGGCGACTAGGCGCCTCCCTATCGTCTAGCCTCACCTTGGCACCTTGAAAACTATGGACTGGAGACAGACCTAACCTTCGACATTTTTATCTCAATCCTAAATCTTTTGATGAATTAATTTCCTGGCAAACATGGCAGCTAGGGATGGCCACGAGCCGAGCTCCTCACAAGCTACTCGAGCTCGGCTCGGTTTCAACCGAGGTTCGAGCCGAGATCGAGCCCAATTTACAATCTCGATTAATAAACGAGCCGAGCTCGAATATATATATATATATATATATATATATATANATATATATATATATATATATATATATATATATAATAAAATTATAGAAAATAATATATATAATAAATATTATATAATTTTTTATTTTTATAAACATTTTTTCTCAAATCGAGCTCGAGCCGAGCTTGAGCTCGAACTCGAGCCTTGTACTACCTAGATGAGCCAAGCTTGAGCCTCATACTATTCGGCTCGGCTCGGCTCAAATCCACCCCTAATGGCAGCTATCCACTGGGCCCTTCGGGCCTGCCTAGTGCCTTGCTGCATAGGAAATCAACAAGGTTGAATTATTTTTGACCATCTGGTTTCTAGATTGTTTTAGGGTTGTATGATAAAGCTATCCAGCCACAATCATCTAATTTGTTCAGATTGACTTTTGGCCGGGAGTATCTCCTAATTAGCCCTTTATCTGGACACATGGCAGCCAAGTGAAGGCACTCAATATATTATGATGAGGGTACCTTCATTATAGCAATTGACTTGGGAATCAACTTACCAAAACCGCTTCCTCTGGACCATTGTCTAGAAAAATACACTTTGGTCTATGCTTGTTAAAGCTAAGAGGCGGGTTTCCCAAAAGCAAAAACCATGCGAGCATTCTGAGATCACGGCATCCAGTCGCGCATTAGGAATATCTCCTGTACTTGTATATTAAATTCATGGGGAGATGTTGCCAATGTGTGGCTGGGTGCTGTGCTCTCAGAGTATTTGCATGATTTTTTGGCTTTCTAGAGATCCGGTCTCTGTAAAGCACCGGGTGATGGCCTTGTCTATTTGGTGGGGAATTACAAACACCCTACCGTTGGAAGCGTCGTCCCTACAAGCGTAGACCATCATAACATGTTACTCTTGTCAACTGGTTGGGATTTCATGTTAGTTTACTTGTCAAAGCACCATCAACAAAGCCCATATAAAAAGCACCCTTAGATACGTGAAACAATGGATGAAAGTTGAGTAGAGTAGACTTCTAATTCTAGTATTTCGCTCTGTATTCTCTTGTCTTTTTCTTTTCTTTCCCTGTTTTTGCATGATTTTATTTGTAGAAGTGAGAATAAGGATTTTCTTTGTAAAGGCTTGGCTCTTGATAGAGCAGAATGGCGGGACAGGATCTGTGTATAGTTGGGGTTAAGTAGAATGAGGATCCTATTTATATGTGGTCTGTTTAAGATGAATTCCACTTCAACTAGTAGATGCCATGTTTCTCCCCTCAAGGTTCTAGCACCATACCCGTAACTCCCCAACCTTTGGTGGCCATTCCCTAGTCTCTGTTGGAACAAGCCAGTGACTGTACCAAAACTCTAGTTATTGTTAGAATTTGCTGATACTGTAAATATCTCTGGATGGCCAATATATCCCCTACCAAAGAGAAGCATCATCATCATCTAATCCTTGTGACAATTATATGGGGTCGGCCACATGAATCCTGTTTTGCCATTTTGCTCCGTTCAGTGCCTCCAAAAAGAATGCATTAATTGGAATATTCCAGCTAGAGGCACCAACCAGGCTTATCACAAATGCTCGTGATCATGCATAGGGAGTCTTGGACAGACTTGGTGTCAAATGTGGTCCTAAATACCAATTGAGTAGAGTAATATTCGGGCTAATTTCCATGAATAAATATGGTGTCACACCATGTAATGTGACCATGGACATGAATGAATCCGCACAAGGCCATGCAAGCCACATCTTTCAACAGAGATAGGGGACCATTGTACCCCAGCGACAGCAATGCTATGTCACTGTTTCTCGCTTCAATTGATATCAACAGTAACACATCCAGACCCAGCTCAAGCCGACAATGCACACATATTAATCATACATACATACATATGTTCTTTTACATGAATTAATGTTCACTGTACTAATTATGTCTGCATCTGGCTTCTATCTAATAATACACTGGCCAGTTACCAGAGGGAGATCGAGAGGGTGTAGGCCTGCAGCATCACAGACTTTCTTTTCATGACAGATTTCTGTTTGCATTCATAATTTGCATTTCGAGTATGTACAAAATATATAGAATCTATATGTGCCAAGAAGACAATCAACAGTCCCTGCTATGTTTATAAGCATTTATCCTTTGATTCCAGAAGACGATGGCTGAAGGATCCATGGGCCATGGCCCTAAGTTGATCTCTTTCCGGTGTCATAGGGTTTTTCCATAATTAAATGAGGGTATTGAAATTGAAGGGGATTGTATATTTTGGGTTGAACCTTGGAAGAGAGGGAATGAGACATAGGGGCCTAAGTTGAAAGTTAAGTTGTTAGGATACAACAAGGAAATGATATGGTTCAGGTCGTGAGAGACATCGAGGGACATAAGTCATCGCAAATTGTCCTTTCCAATGGACTCGTTGAATGGAGACAAGGGGCGGAAATTGGGTGCTTAAGCCATGCATATGCCTTAAAACTGGCATATCTGAACTGAAAGGTCCTTGTTAAGTCTGGCTGTTGTTAAGAGGCAATATTTTGGCACCCCGCCTGGATGGCTATGATTTATCACAATGAAAGTGGTAACAAATCAGGTGGTATTTATCAAATTTCACTTGGGGGGTTTGAGATTGGTCAAAGCTCTTTTTCAATTTTGCATTATTTTCATTTTGTTTCTATAAAACAAGATTTTCATTCACCTTCTGGCGGATTAAAAAAAAAAACCAAGATTTTCATCATGGTTGAAAGTATCGATACGAGCGTTAATACACTTGTTCCCTTTGTAAATAATTGACACCTAAAACATTTTGTCTCAGGGATAATGGAATCGAAATTCACATGCTCGATACGTGAAAAATCAATATCGTGCAATGAGCATATTGATAGTTTAAAGGGAGAATGACGGTTCAGCCCAGAGTCAGAATTTCTAGGCCTAAAGTACAATTGAGGTAGAGTGATGGTTTTTGACATTTTAAATGTTTATAGCTTTGCAATAGAATTTAAAAATCTACATTGGGCCTGTCCATACTTTTCCGTAATTTATGAAGATAGAGAGAGACTGGACATTTATGAATGTGAAACATAGCACCGATAAATGTTAAGAAAACAAAGGGTGAAACGGCAACCTTACTATGCACTGTGCAGCCAGCCTGCCTAATGCCTAATAGTTGGTCGAAGAATGTGCGACGCTGAACCTATGCTAGCTGAACTGGCAGAACTACTAATCGAAGAATGTGCTTTTCTTTCATGTGGGATTTAAGAACCAGTGTGAGGCATCATATAAAAAGGGCATGTTCCCTTTGAATTACCAACGGATCTTGTCAGAATTCACCCCTGCCCTTAAGAGCCACCGACTTCCAGTCTTGGACTTGGGTTGGGTTGGGGTTGATAGGGGTGTCAATTGGACTGGATTGGGTTCAACCCGATCCAGTCTAATGTGAATCCATTACAAATTAACCAGGTCTAATCCAATCCAATGAAAATTTGGAACGATCCAGTTCAATGTCTGGACTGTCTAATCTGTTCGAATTTATTTTAATTTAGTTAATTCTAATCCAAAACTGGTCTATTGACACCTATATTCTTATCTTTTATCAATGGACCAGATATTGGATAAGTCCAATCCAATCCAATAAATACTTTGGACCATGAAGTCTGATTTTGGTTTGGACAGGATCCAATCCAAAGCATATTTATTGTTGTTAGTGGATCACAACCCATCCTAACCCTCACCCACCTTATTCACCCATATTGACTCACTTACCCAAAATAAATGGTTTTTTACACTTACCTCTACATCAGCCTTTGCTCGTTGCAAGTAAATGCAAGTCAAAGTATAATATTAATTCAACGAAGACCCACAAATTCTAAACATAGTAAATTTATACATAGATCATACCAAAATACATATATCACAAACTACGGTATACTTGGGATATTAATGATTCTAAACTATAATGGTTAACAACGGTATTGCTTAGCAGCCTGGATCCTGGGTCAGTTGGTT